ACAATCCGGTGCTATTTTTATGGTTTTTATCCGTTGTTGCTTGCAAAAACCTTTCCATTCTTGATATCTCATGTTAGAGCTATTAATAGACATAATAGCATTCCTTATTTTGTGATAAAATGGACCAATTGCTTGTGTTCCATCCTTCACACACAAGTTAAGAACATGACAAATGCATCTAACATGAAGTGCATCTCCATCTAATATAACATCGGTCAATTGGTTTTTGACCAAATTCGCATTATATGTCATAGAAGTTGCATTATCGAAAGTCATTGACATGATTTTATCCCTAAGACTATATGCATCAATGGCTTCCATTAAATGATGTGAAATGTTAAGACCGGTATGAGGGTATTCAAGCATTTTGAAATGAATGATGCGTTTTTGTAACATCCACTCATTATCTAACCAATGACAAGTAACACATAAATAGTGGAGTCCGTAACCACCATCCCATGCATCGGCGGTTAAAGAAACTCTACTAGGAAGATTAGCTAATTCATTTACTAATTTCAATTTGTACTCTAGATAACTCTTCATGGCAGCCGATCGAACGGTTTTTTCGGGAGATTTTTTTGTGTTTTGGTTGTAGTGCTCGGTTAATATAGTTGTTGAAGGCATCATTTTCGGCGAAAAGAAAAGGTTGTTCCGCATGTACAATCATTCTCCCAAGTTTATCCCTATCTCTCTCGTAATTGTAAATGAAGCCTTGTGGATGGAATTGAGAAATTTTGGGTTGGGTTGGATCACTAGATGGTCCACCACATTTTTTTGTATGTCTATTAAGGTGTCCCGTCCCTCCCTTGGTATCGGCCGAGAAAATTTTACCACAAGTCGACACTTGGCCTTTTGTCCATTTTTACTTAATTGATAATGTGACCAAACTTCACTCTTTCTTTTGGTTTGAGCAAAATCCTCTTCGGTACACCACTCTAATATGTTAGGATTTTGGGTGTTGGGAATTTGGGTGGATGGTTCACTCGACCCGCAGACTTGTGTTTGGCTACCTTGGGAAGGAGGAGGAAAAGGAAATTCATGTTGTTGAAATTGGCTTTGTTGAAATTGGGTGATTTGGGTCCAAGGAGCCATATCATCCATTTGTTCTTGCCCTCCCGTGTTAGGGGAGGGAAAGGGCATGTTAGGGAAGGGAAAGAGCATGTTAAGGGGGGCATAGGCATTGAAGTGTTTGGATTTGGTGATTCCCTACGTTTTGACTTGGCTTTTCTAGAGGAGGAGGAAGCGTTCGGGTTTGATGCCATGATTAATTAATAATAATAACAATAAAAGTAACAATAACAATAATAATAATAATACAAATAACAATAACAATAACAAAGTAACAATAACAATAATAATAATACAAATAACCCACAATTAAATAGAAAGTAGTTTTTATATAATTAAGTAGTTCCAACTTCCAAGAATACAATAATAATAATAATAATAATAATAATAATAATAATAACAATAATAACAATAATAATACTAATAATAATAATAATAATAATAATATAATAACAAGATTAACAACTAACAATAACAAATTAAAATAAAGTTGAGTTAGATCTTACAATGACGCTTCAATGCTTTCCCAAATTTATAATTTCCCGAACTTATAATTTCCCGAATTAATAATTTCCCGAATGTAAATATAACAATTTTTATTTTTTTGGTAGTAGACTAATAAAGGTAATAATAGTAAAAATGTAAAATTCATAAGAGAGTAGGAATTTTTTTTTTTCACAAAAGAGAGCAAGATTGTAGGATTTGTAGGAATTTGAGAATTTGGGAGTAAGAAAATTAGAGAATAAGAGAGAAGAGATGAGTTGAAATTGTGAAAATTTTGGAGGAAAATATGAGGTATTTATAGGGAATTTGGGTGGGAAAAGAGGTGGAAAACTAGCCGTTTATAACTGTTGGAAAACGGCCATAAACGGCTAGTTTTCCAACGGTAAATGCCGGGCCGTGCCTTGCGGGCTCGTGCCGTGCCGGGCCGCCGAGTCGTGCCAGCGTGCCGGCCCACCTGTGGGCCGTGGGCCGTGCCGTGCCCATGCCCGTGCCAAATCCCACAACTTTGTTCACGGCACGGCCCACGGCCCACAGGTGGGCCGCCGTGCCGGAGTCGTGCCGGTACGGTCCGTGCCCATGTTTATGATTACTTGTGTTTGTTTTGTATTAGGATTTCCAGTCCTTTTAATGCAAACATGTAAGTTACATGCAGTAACGCGGCACTAATTCTTAGCAGCAACTATGATTTTGTACATAAAGCCTAGAAAATTCGATAATTTTTTGAAAATTTTAACTTTTTTTTTTTTTTTTGTTAATTTGATAATTCGGGGTGTTAATGTGTTATTGTCGATTTGGGTATTATTGATAATTTAATGATTTGATAATGTAGGGTAGGACTACTAATAAATTTGTTTTGATTTGTTTGCAAGTAGAAATAATGTACTACAGTACTTAAAATGCATGAAGGAATCAATATGGACATATGGTACGTCAAGTTGTTAATAAATAATAACATAATGGACTCAACGCCTATAGTTTATTTAGCAATTTGGAATCATCAATAGTAATACCCTATAAATTTTTCTACTTTAAGTTTTGGGACGAAACTTGTTTTAAAGAGGGTAGATTGTAATACCCTAAAATTTTCTATTTTAAGTTTTGGGAACGAAACTTGTTTTAAGGAGGGTAGATTGTAATACCCGAATATTTTATGATTTTATACATTATATTTTATAAAAAAAATTGTTATTTTTATTTATTAAATAACTTTCATAATCTCATTTTTTTTTTTATTTTAGAGTTCGTAAAGTTTTAAAACACTATCTTGTTTAAATAGCACTGTACAATTCAAAACGTATATAAACTATTTTAAACCTTAAAAGATATTTTATTAAAAAAAAAAAAAAAAAAAAAAAAAAAAAGGCTTGCCGTACAATTTGGTTTGTGCAATTGTGTGTGACTTTCATAATCTAACCCCAATTTGATTCTTCTTAAAAATTTCTTTCCTTTTCTAATCTCCATGATAACATTTGAGCAATTAATAATTACTTTCTCCCAACTTGCAATTAATGTGCGTGAATTGTGAAGGTGGAGTGACTTGCCTAATTTTTGCCTAAGGTAATCACACGATCTTAATTAATTTTTTTTATTTGTTTGATTATAAATTGTTAGTATTAATTGTACTCCGTAATGTTATGTGTAAATTTTATAATTTGTGAATTATATATGATCATGATTTATATGTATATGATTAGTGTGTGGTTTATATGATTTAATTGTCGCATTGATTGATTTTGTTATTTCTAGGGTTTTTAATGTTGTTGTTATAGGGAGTATTGTTTTATCGAGATTTTAGGGTTGTTAATGCAGAGTATTATTTTTGGGTTGAGATATGATTATATTTGGGTTATTAGTATGTGTTTTAAGAGTTGAGATATTATGAATCGAATTGTCATATTAATTGGGAGCATGTGCCATTATTGAGATACTATTTATTGTTTATGAATAATTATTTGATCGATGTATGAGATCAAAAGGTTGAGGATTATTATTTTGTTATTGGTTTGAGGCTCGGCGTTATAGACCTTAGTCCTTGGCATGTTGGTAATGAGATAATGATCATGAGTTAAGAATGAGGTACAATCTTTATTATTTATTTTTCTATGGTCCCCTACTGTGGGAATTGACCCGTATGTGGTCTGGTTCAAGGTATTTTCTGGTTATTGGGAGTATTCTAGTTTTTATACTTGTTGGTTTTATTCGAATTACCCATGTCCAAGGCTAGGTATAAAACAAAGAGCATGGCACACTTATGGGTTATATATATGAGTTAATTGAGTAAAAGTTCATATTATTATTCGAGGTTGAGTTGATAAAGGTTATTTTTCATAGTACAATGTGTAATGTAGTTTCGAACTACATTGTTTAATTGAGCTAGTATTGTCTATTATTCAATTACACTCTATATTCTGATATGTGGTGATTACTCAGCTTTTACTGACATGTGTGTTATTTTGTTTTACTACTTGTGTTTGCGGCCATGTCTTTTTCTTATGGTGGCCTTGCGACGATCTATTTTGGAATTTGTCCTTAATGGTGAGCAGTCAAGATTTTCTAAGCAGGTTTATCAAGTGACCGTAGCTAAGGAGCTCAAGTGTTTCAATTAGTTTGTTATAATGAGTTTATAAAGTTGCACAAATAGCTCACTTAGAGTTATTGGGTTGTAATTATTGGGATTTTTGTAAGTCTTAACACTTGACAGGTTGTTGAGTGTGGCGGTAATACCTCCAATTTAGGTGTATGCTTCCGCAATTTTATTTAAAAGTTGTTTATTTTTCCTTTAATTCTTATTTATTTTCAGTTAGTAAATCGGGGGTGTTACATCAATGGGATTTAAATCTAAGAAGAAGACCAGTATTATTCCTATAAATGAGCAATTATATTGTGCTCTTATGAAAGTCATACTCAGATAACTACTATTTTACCGTGCTTGACCTGCTAGTCTTTTACCTGCCCCAACTTCAACGTTTCATATTTTTGACTTCACCTTACATTTCTTTGCTCATCTTTTCTTCTAATTATGTATTCTTTCTTACTTCCCTTGGCTAATTATGTAGGAAGAAGTAGTCAATAATGTTGACTGGTTTGGGGAAAAAAAAACTAAAGATGTCCTTGTTTTAAGGACATTGTAGCGATCCCCTCAAAAAAAAAAAAAAAAAAAAAAAAAAAAAAAAAAAAAAAGACATTGTAGCGAGTTTACTTCATACAAAAGAATTTTATGCCCCATCTTCCACGATTTTTTTGCCCTGCATCATCTTTTGTCTCCTTTGCTTATCTGATCCAAAGGCGCAATAAGGCGAAAGTGTTTGGATATTTATGCACTTTCACTTCACAAGTTGTAACAACTACTTTTTTCACCTTGATCATCTTCGACAGTTAGTTGGAAAAAGTTGGGAACTAGTAATCAGTTTGTTTTGCAAGTAGATATAATGTACGAAGGAATCAATAATTTGGTAAGTCAAGTTTTTATTGAATTACAGCCTACAAGTCCTATGAATTAATTTGCCTATTTGATTATAGACTATTTCTCCAACCCATATACAAATATCTGACATCATAAGACAATTTTTTGTCCTGTTTTTCACATTCGTCTTGTCTCTGATGTTAATATTGGCTAATTACTATTGACTAAATTAATTATCTTTGCAAGCCATTTTTTTTGGTTCTCGCGGCCCAATATGAAGTAATGTTGACTAGTTCATAACAAATAATTCTTTAAACTCGCAACAAGTTACTGCAGTTAGGAAGCTATAGTTAATCGAACTCTACACCCCCATCAGATCAGCAGTATTACTTGATTTAATATGCACTAACCGGCTTTCAAAAAAAAAAAAAATCAGATCAGCAATAGCAATTTTTGAGTTTTTCTTTGCTTAACATTTAACCATTGTCTCCGTTCCGAAATGAGACCTCTTACGTGGGAAACATTGATGAACCAGCAATGCTACTAAGTAGTCTTCTAAGGTCGCTCTCTATTTTACTGAAGAGGTTTGGAATTCTTACTATTAGCTACTTGTATATCGCAATGCTCAAAAGTCAAGTTTAATATAGCAAAATAGAGACTTGATCACTTGGTTGCTCAAGCTAAACCAACTGAGTATCTGACTACACACTGCTGAATTATGACTACTAAAGCTTTCTTGATAAAAAAAAAAAGGTTCATGAATTTCTTGCATATCGTTCAGTTCATGTGTTTGGATATTCGTGAAACTCAGCTAACAGGATTAAACCTACGGTGTGAGAAATACTTTGCTCCAACTTGTAATATTGACATCTCCAAAGAGAAGTCAATTAAGTCTCTGTTTTGTTCTTTCCTTATCTTCTCTAGATGGTTTCGTTTTCAATGTTCTGTGACAAATGCTATGCCTCGTCTTCCCCATTAGTAGACTTGTCGATTGTGATCCTTGGCTTCAAGTACCATTACCATATGTGAAGTGAATTTGTGATCCTTAGCTTCAAGTATCATCACCACATATACATTCAACCAAGTGACTGTCTATGGCTATAAAAGCCACTCATTCCTTAATGTGTTATTTGGCATTAAAAAAAGGAAATTTTAGAACACCACAAAAAAACACAAATTTTGATAATAACACCATAAAAAAAAAAAAAACTTTTATTATAACTCCACAAAAAAAACCAAAAAATTGATTTCACCACCACTTAACGGATTTTTGGATGGAATCCGTTAGTGAGCCCATAACTGACACGTGTCACTATCCTATTGGTTTAACAAAAAAATTAATATAAAAAAAAAAAAAAAAAAACCCTCGACAACCAAACCCAGCCCAACCCCACCACTGGCACCACCTGTCCACCACCGCCGACAGGCTAACCCAAGTCGTCGGTACCCCTGCCCCACCAAAATCGGCGAAACCACGAACCCCTACCCCAGCTCGGCCTTGCCCCACCATCAACCACGTTATTCGCATCGAAAAACCCCCCGCAACCACCACCTCCGCCACCATACACAACAAATTCCCATCCCTTACACCACTTCGACACCCCTCCAGCCACCGAAAACCCCCTGCGACACCCCTTGAACCACTTCCGACACCCCTCCAGCAACCGAAAACCACGAAATTCGCACCAAATAACCCCCGCAACCACCTCCTTTTCCCACTCAAAACCGACAACCACCACCATTTTTCTTCCATTTCACAACAAATTAGCAACTAGTGGTCGAGATCGGCCAATTTAGGGTCGAATTTGACCACTCAGGCCCTAACTTGGCAGATTTCAACCACTAGTCGCCATTTTTGTGGTGGCTAGGGTTTATGGAGTTGCGAGCTAGGGTCTTAATCGCTGCGTCTGGTGGTCTATAGGGGTTTTCGGGGTTGGTTAAGGATGGTGGGGGTGGCTGGATGGACACTGGTGTGGCTTGGCGGCAGTGGAGGGTAGTGCCGGTGGTGGGATGTAGGGGCTACCGGTGGTGAGCTTCGTGGCTGGGCTTAGGGTTTAGTTTTTTTTTTTTTTTTAATTTTTTTTAACCAATATATAAGTGACACGTGTATTTGGTGGGTCCACAAACGGTTTTTTTTGACGACATCCTCTATGTGGTGGTGAAATCAAATTTTTGAAATTTTTGGAGGTGTTATAATCAAAACTTTTTTTTTATGTGGTGTTATTATCAAAATCGTGCCTTTTTTGAGGTGTTATTTTCTAAAAAAACCTTAAAAAAATTATTCACTCACAAAATCAGATATATCACAATGGGTTTGGGATGCTTTACATACATGCTTTTTTCAGTTTTTACTTTTTCAATACTTGTTTTTTTCTTATTTTTCCGTGCCTTCTAATTCTAACCAGCCTTCCTTGCAGCAATCGAAGCCACTGTGCCATGATCAAGAAAAGATTGCATTGCTTCATTTTAAGCAAAGCTTTCTTCTTGATTGTTCCACATCATTTCTGATTTCACATATCCAAAGGTGAAATCATGGCATGATGAATTAGATATTCATCATGCGGAAAATGCCACTGTAAGTGGTGATTGTTGTAGGTGGGATGGTGTCAAGTGCAATGAGGAGACCGGTCATGTGATTGGCCTCGACCTTAGTAGCAGTTGCCTTTACGGCACCTTCCCTTGTAACAGCACACTCTTTAGCCTTAATCATCTCCGTGAGCTTGATCTTTCTAAAAATAACTTTAATTATTCTAAAATTCCCTCTGATATTGGTCGTCTTCCAAGCTCACAAATCTCGACCTCTCCCTCTTCATTTTTAAGTGGTCAAATTCCATCAGAAATTTCAAAATTGTCAAGCCTATCATTTCATTATCTTTCTATTAATGAAGATCCTACAGGTGTTAATGAGAAGTTAAATTTGAAACTTAATGATTTGAGTCTAGAGAGGTTGGTTAATAACTTAAGTCGTTTAACCCATCTTTATCTTGATATGGTTGATATATCGTCTGAGGTACCCCTTAGCTTAAGCAACCGAACTTCCCTAAAAGCTATCTCTCTTGGTTTTTGCGATCTTTTGGGTGAATTCCCAACAAGTCTTTTGCTACCAAAACTCAAAGAAATAAGTTTGATTTATAATCCCGAATTAGGAGGATATCTTCATGAATTTCATTCTAATAGTCCTCTTTGTATTTTAGATCTATGCGGAACAAAATTTTGTGGAGAGTTGCCATCCTCAATTGGTAACTTAACTGACCTCATTGTACTAGGCCTTGCTCACAATTACTTTAGTGAACTCCCTCAATCTATCATGAACCTAACACACCTTAATCGTTTATATCTTTCAAACATGGTGGATGTTGGGAATGCTGGAATATTGAAATCTTGGTTGTCTAAGCTAAATTTACTAACTGATCTTATGCTTTCTAAAATGAATTTAGGAATTGAAATCATGCCTACTCTTTCTAACTTTACTAGACTCCATTTTTTGAGTCTCCAAAACAACTTGTTAACAGAACCACTTCCAAGTTGGCTCATGAATCTAACCCAATTAGGAGCCTTAGATCTACTAGGTAATCAATTTCAAGGTCCAATCCCACCCTGGATTTCTTACCTTATTAATCTTCACACATTGACTTTGTCTTTCAATGGCACAGTTGACAAGTTTGATCCTTTTTTCATGCTCCCAAAGCTTCGTTATTTAAAATTGACTGGTGTTAGCCTCACATTTCCTCAAAATATATGCACCAATTCATCACTTTTGAAGTTGCACATTTTGAGTCTTGAATCATGCAACTTGACTGAGTTTCCAAAATTCTTACGTTGTCAAGATGAGCTAAGAGAACTATATCTCCCTGGAACATCATTGGGAATATCCCACAATGGTTTGTGAGAACAACTAGGGAAAATCTATTGTTCTTAAACCTTTCTAATAACCTTTTAACAGGTTTTGAACAAACTTTGATTTTTCTCCCATGGAGAATAGTTCAATACTTTTGACAATAGTTCCTTTGCTGGGAACTTGGCATTATGTGGAGCTCCATTGTTTGAGAAGTGCAAGAAAGACATCGTGCCACCATCACCACCGCAACAATTGACAAATGATGAGATGACGGAAGAGGATATTGAGCTGATTGACTGGATCATCATATCATTGGGGTGTGTAAGTGGGTTTATAATCGGCTATGTCCTTGGGAAGATATACGTGGCTGATCGACACCATGATTGGTTTATGGAGACTTTTGGAAGGAGAAGAAGGTCGGAGACAAGGATGAGGAGATCAACACAGAGGCATAGGAGAAATTAAGAACCTGAATATGCAACTCCGATGTATTTTCCTACATTAATACTTGTATTGCATTTGTACTTGTAAAAATAGTTGAGTGTTTCCTAGTAGCTTGTATTATTATTGCTTATGGGTAGATTTTGTTTTCGATGCTTTATCTTTTCATGTCATTTTATCTTCAATAAAATGCTTTGGACATACAATAAAGAGAAAAACCGGTGAGTTGAATTTACAGTTTCAGTATTTTTTTTTTAAAACCATTTGCAGTTTCAGTATTGTTGCTGAATCACTCCTCAATAAAAAATGTCCTAAAAAACTAAAGACAATATAATGCAATGTTTTTTTTTTTTTTTAAACACTTGTTATTCATTAAGTTTCTTCAAAAATTATAAGTCACTTTTTTTTTTATTTTTTTTGGAGAAGAAAATTATAAGTCAATTTGATGGATGTAATTGTATATTGCTAAAGTGACTCCAAAGTTTGGCAAATTCTACTTAATGGTCTTACTTTATTAATTAGTGATTAACTAATCAATAATAACTATTTATAAAAAAAAATACAATATTAAGACATGTCTGTGTCCTTAGTATTTTATTTTAAAAAAATTGAATAATTTATTTATGGAAGTTATTTAAAAAAGGTTCGTATTTGTCAGCCATTAAATGATCAATAATAATATTTACCTTTAATCTCCTATGTTGTTACAAAACAACAAAAGATTACTCTAAAATTGGTACGTTATAATTTCCCCAAATCTTAATTTATGCCTTCAATTTAAAATTATGCCCCAACTTGGATTATAAGTTGTTTAATATTTTTGAATAATTTTATATATGAACTATGTCCGACATTGCATTATATATCGATTTATCACAACTATCAACAAAATATATATTAAACAAAGGAATTGAGAGGTGGAATAAAAGCAATTATAACGATCAATTGCACTTATATGGGTAATTTGCCTAAAAAATACGAGTGGTGGAGCATCATTCAAATGGGTGAATTGGTATTTGACTTATACACAATGGGCCAATGAGAACAAAAGCAATTAACTACTACCTCCATTACATGTTATGTACAACAATTTGACATAAAATAGAGAGGGAAAATGTCTAATCGTTGCACATAACCTGTAACGAAGGCAGTATATTAAGCAATTAATCTAGCATCTTTTCCGTCTAAAAAAAAAAAAAAAATTTCTCCAATTAGCTTTATTTTGTCTGACATTAAGAGAGAATGCTAATGGTGATTAGGGGATTTTGCTCCCACCAATCGGAATGCGCCACGTGGGCCAATCAGGTCCTGCCAAGTGTCCCCCAGTTGGAACTGTCAGGGCTTGCCACGTGGCACGCGCTTATTCGTCCACCTTGGACCGATTATGTCATGACATGTGGCATACTCCATGCCTAATGGAGAAACCGGCCACCCAGGCCCAACTTCCGAGGGAAGCCCAATCAGCCCTAGGTTAACCTAAACCTAGGATGGGCACGTTTCCCAAGGTTATAAATACCTCCCTTAATCCTCATTAAGGGGGAGAACGAAAAAAACACATTAATTACACACAGTAATAACCGGCTGATCTCGCTAACAAAGCAGATTACCTACGTTAAACACTCTCACCTAGAGAGACCCAATCACTTTAATTTCCGCATTAATTACTCCTTAATCAAGTACTAACTTGACCGTTGGAGGCGGAGCTCCCAGGAGTCTCCGTTATTTTGCAGGTACAGGCGTCCGGTTCCAGTCTCGGAATTGTAACTCTCCCGCAGGACATCAGAAAACCCCGAAACATTTGGCGCCGTCTGTGGGGAGAGTACTTCTGAGATGGCATCCAAGTCTGTACCGACTCCTAAAGAGAGGCGTCCCCTAGACGACCCTCAAGTTCAGTCGGACCATGATACCGAGAGTGAATTTGAAGTTGAAGCTCACACAGCTTCAGACGGGACCCTAAGGGCCCGACGTACCCGTCATACCGAAAGGAGGGAACGGGAACATCTTCAAACTGGAAGTGAGCCAGCAGGCGCACCGCCTGTTCGGCAACAGCCGACTGATGGGTCTGCTCCCATCACAAGGAACGAACTTATGACCTTCATGAGGAACTTCAAGGGAGAGATTCAAGAGTTGATCAACAAGAAGCCGCCTGCTCCAGTCAAGGAGCAGTCGGCTAAGAAACCCTCCACTTCACTGAAGAGGAAGCCAGTTCAAGGGCGAGAGGCGACTCCTCATCCTAAATCTAGGAAGCGGGATCCACCTGCCCTTGATTTCACAAAATTCCATTTTCCTACAGGAAATAGGAAACATGTTCGTCATATTCAGGCGGACGGGTCGAAGCAAATATTCACAGACGCTCGGCTACTGCTAGAGTAGAAGAAGAGTGACCGATTGTCAGAGTCGGCCTCTACTTCAAACTTTCAAGAAAGTCTGCAAAATGCCTCGATGAGGCATACTCAGTCGTATCATGAGAGTCAGTCAGGCGGCACCTCCCGTCAGTCCGGCTTTCATAGCGACCAGGCGGTACCAAACTTACCATTTGTGCCGCAACAACAGTATTTTTTGCAGCCACCTTCGTTTGGTGGACCTGCAACAAAAAACGTCCAACCTATGGACTGGCAGCTACGGTTTCTTAGACTTGGTGAACAGCCGTCGGCCTTCTCCAAGGAAATTACTGAAGCCGCTCAGCCGGCCAAAGTGAAAAATGTACTAGTAGGCGCCTATGACGGCACTACTAACCCAGAAGACCATCTGATGGCATTCACCAACCTGATGTACCTTCAAGGGTTGGATGATCCCACTTGGTGCAAGTGTTTCCCAGCGACTCTCAAAGGAATCGCACAACAATGGTTCGGCAACCTGCCGACTGGTTGTGTAAATAGCTTCAGGACGCTTGCTTATTTATTCACCTCCAACTTCGCCATGAACATCCCTGCGAAGAAAACGACCCTTGATTTAGGAACAATTCAGCAGGGCGAGAAGGAGTGGCTTCGTTCTTACATCAGGCGGTTTAACCTGATGAGAATACAGATTCAAGGGTTACCGGATGAGGTAGCCTATACTGACTTTTTCAGAGGCCTCAAAGACGGATCGACATTCAAATTTGATTTGGTCCGAAAGAGGGTGGCGACTCTTCAAGAGGCCTTGATTGAAGCGGAAGCCTATATACAGGCGACTGATCTTTGTACGGTAAAACAGTCGGACGGGAAAAGGTTCGACAAAAGAGAAGGACGACAGAAACAGTCGTCAAACAAAGATGAGAAGAGAAAAGAGGTCTGGGCGGCTGATTCCTCTAAACAGCCGGCCCAGAAAAAGAAAAAAGAATTCAAACCATACTCCCCAAAGTATGCGTTTAACAAGGATAACCAGTTTATCCTAAAAGAAATCAAGGGACGGATCTCAATTGAGAAGCCGGTCCCCATGAAGGGTTCTGCAAACAACCGGAACCAAGATAAATTCTGTGCTTATCATGATGATGTTGGTCATCACACCAATGACTGCATCAGTCTCATGCGGTATCTGGACCGCCTGGCTGAGCAAGGTGATCTTGACACTTATGTCAAGAAATCTACGGGGAACACTTCCTCAAAAAAGCAGTCGGCCAAAAAGAATCAACAGGCCGACAGCTCCGATACAGATGATGCAGTCGTCTACACCATTGCAGGCGGCTTCTCAGGAGGCGGCCCCACTATTAGGGGCAACAAAGACAATATCAGGCGGTTAGATGTAAATTCCGTTCACCAAGAACGGCCGTCCAAATATTCATTTCCTGAGATTGTCATCACTGAAGAAGATCTAGGAGGGGTAAGAGGGCCGCATGACGACCCTATCGTTATTGAATGTAAAGTGGCCAACCAGAGAGTTGGTCGAATCCTCATAGATACCGGAAGCTCCTCAGATCTCATCAGTAGCAAATGTCTGTCGAAACTAAAATATCAGACTGATTGCATACATCCGGCCTCCCACCCCTTAGTAGGGTTTGGAGGAGGAGTCGTCCACCCACTGGGACGAGTGGATTTACCCATCCGCCTGGGCGAAAAAGGGGAAGGACGACACATGGTAGTCCGGTTCCTGGTAGTAGAAGAACTCTCGGCCTACAACATGATTCTGGGTCGACCAACCCTAAATAATTCCAAGGTTGTTATAATCCCATCTCTTATGTTGCTCAAGTTTGAGAGGGATAATGGAACAGACGGCTCCCTAAGGGGAGATCAGAGGATGGCCCGAGAGTGCTATCTCTCGGATGTCAAGCCCACTGTTATGGCCACTGGGTCAAGTGGTGAGAAAAAACAGACCTTGACAATGTCAAGAAGAGTGCGCCTGTTCAAGAAGCAGGCGGCAAGAAGAGAAAGGCATCCCAGACAGGGGCCGCAAGAAAAGAAAGAAAATAGCAATCATCGGCAGAGGAGCGGTCGGATGAGTTCCGCCCTCAGCCGGCTGGTGAGCATACGGACCTGATCTTAGACGACTCACCTCATGACCGAACAGTCAAAGTTGGGACGACTGCTCTGAGAGACCTTGGTGACGACTTTCACAAACTATTGAAAGAATACAAGGACATCTTTGCATTCGAAGTCCATGAAATGCCAGGCATTAGTCCTGATCTGGCGGTACATAAACTGGCCGTGGATCCGAAAAAGAAGCCGGTACGGCAAAAGAAGCGGAACCATGGCGAAGAAAGAAGTCAGGCGGCAGCCGCCGAAGTTAAAAAATTACTTGATGCAGGGTTCATTCGGCAATGTTACTTCCCAGACTGGGTTGCAAATGTGGTGCTTGTTAAAAAGCCGAATGGCACTTGGCGAATGTGTGTAGACTACACAGACTTAAACAAGGCGTGCCCCAAAGACAGTTACCCTCTGCCTAAAATTGATAACCTGGTCGACTCAACAGTCGGCCATGCTTTGATGAGCTTTATGGACGCCTACTCTGGTTTCCATCAAATTCCTTTATGGAAGAAAGATCAGGAGAAGACGGCCTTCGTCACTGATCAGGGGTTATACTGTTACACGGTCATGTCGTTTGGTCTT